AAAAAAAAAAAAAAAAAAGCAGCTCCGAATATCAGCCCAGTGATTTGCTTCTGCTCTGGGCGTAGGAGAGATGGGATGGCAAGGCAGAGCTGGGACTGTTTAAGATGCAACTTCACCAGAATCCACGGTGTACACTTGTTATCTCGAGCAAGGGAGGCAGTCACATGAAGAAGGCCGCTGGTAGCGTGACAACCATTGTTAGCATATTAAACATGCACAGCCAGCCTTAACACAAGCAACCCCCACCCAAACACACACAGCTTCAGGGCACACAAATGCAGACTGGTAATGCAGGGACTTTGAAGTCATCACCCACCCTCTTGTCAGCTCACCAGCTGACGACGTGGAGGAGCATGGATGTATACGTATACAACCTCTCTCGTTCAATGGCAAACCAGTAGGGTCGATTAGTATTCGTCATTACAGGGGGGAAGGAATAGGAAGACAGATGGCAGATATGCAAACACTGGCAGTATGTAATTAGTGGACAGAGCTTCCGGGTCTGTGAAGTGAAGCCACCTGCATTCTTTCTACTGGCCAGCAGGGGGCAGCTCCATTGGCTGGAGAAATGCCCCCATTCTTAGTCTTTAGTCTTACTTCATAGTGACAGCTGAAGAGTGCCAGGAAAGAGAGAGGGGATGACGCCGAGCAATGGGCCACAGGTCAGAATCGAACCTTGGGCTGCTGCAACAAGGAGACGGCCTTGTATGTGGTGCGCCCGCTCTACCAGGTAAGTTATCCAGGGCCCAGACATTAAATTCCTAGACTGAGGCTTCAAAATGATACTCAACCAATCGGTGACATCATGATAGGTTCACACTTGAGGGTAACATGGGTAAGCTTTACACTCACTCGCTGGATGTGTGTGTTTTACTCATTTATTGTCATAAAGGAAACAACCATAGGTGACAAGCTGAGTGAAGTCCAAAGTGGATAGAAATGGATGGAAAGGTTGAATCCTGTTTGTGTTCAACAAGGTTACACTGAAGAAGCACACAGTGCAATCCCAAAGCGTTGATAGTGGTTCAGTTCTGACAAGATGACAACATTTCTTCTACAAGCCAAGAAAAAAAAAAAAAAAAACAAAAACATAAACCGAGTGCAAAGCAAATCTAAACAAAAACTACAGTGGCAGTTGCAACTTTAACATACTTTGCTAGTTCGTATTGTGAGCATATAAACCAGACTGGTGTGCAATTTTAGATTCAGTTATGTGAAAATGTTTTTCTGCAATGGTGGGTCTTTGATTTCTCTTTTTCTGGACTACGAATACAGACTGCTAATTTGTTTTTTCATCTTGTACTGAACAGGATGTACGTGCATGCCAGTGGTCAGCTGGCCGTTAGCTGAGGCTTTAAAGTGGGTTTAGGTGAAGCTTTTAACAGAGAAGAAAAAGGCAATGTGAGGAGATACACAGCACTTATCGGCTTTTGACTAACATTTTGGGCTGTCCCAGATCTTTGGTCGTCAGTTCAAAACTGTGATCCAATTGTGAGACAAGTGCACTGGTGGCTGATTTACAGCTTTGGCAAACAAAGACTGCCTGCGTCAAAACTCTGAGAATGTCAGAGGCCAAAGCTTTTATTGTTTGGCTACATTTTCAAAACATGAGATCGGTGCAGATGGATGACGCGAGCTGATAGCATGTCTCTGCTTGCATCATCACCAATTCATTGCACCATCTGACATGCCTCAAACTGTACATTGTCTCAGATTGCCACCAAGATTTTGCTGGACCTGCTCACACCACGGGACATGAAATGAAATTGGAAGAGAAGGGAAATCACAGTCTATGTGTGCCCCGAGCATGTCAGGGCCATGAGGCAGAATTACCTCTGGGGAAGAATGAAAAGACAAGAGGATTATAGATTTTGTGAGGTCCAAAGCAGGCAGACATAAGCCACCGCTGGACATTTTACTTCAAGTTTACTGGAGAATGAGAGATATCAATTTCCCCTGACTGAAACTATTCTTAGTACTAAGATATTTTCACCCTCAAGATTGACCAGAATTCTGATGCAATCTGGTTTCCCTGACATTTAACATAAATGTCAGTAAGCTATCCCATGCTATGCTACATTGCTTGAATCTGATTTTTTTCCAGTGTCTCAGTATCAGTAAGGAACAAAAACCATGTGAACCAAGCAGGTTTAAACAGCTCAAACTATAAACCGTGATAGCGCTTATTAGAGCATTTTCCCAACCACCATATCACACTTATGCTGCATTCACATGAATTCAGGCAGACACACAGCCCCTTCCTCACAACACGGGAAAAAACAAACAGTCCGACAGAATGGCAAACCAAAACACGCATAATGATATGTTGCTATGGTAATATATTGTTTAAAAAGAATGGAATCAAATAGATTAAAATTATTTTCTGATTATTTTGTATCAATTATTAGCATCTCATTGTCCAGACTGTCCATGTTCTCTCCTTGTGTGAGGGAGCTACGTATTATGTATTAAATACCGCAGAATACAATATTGTAACTTTGGACTGCAATGCCACGAGCATTACCGGTATTCTCTGCCAGCCTCACCCAAGTTTACCATCCTGCTTTCACCCACCAACATGACATTCAGGTTTGCCTGATTCCATGTGAATGCAGCATTACACATACTGAGCTCAGACTACCAGGTTATGCCAAGTGTAATTATGAGTCAGGGCTGAACTGGTCTAGTGTAGCAGCACTGCAACATAATCTACAAAGTCTTCCATCATGTGTCCCTCTCCCACCTCGCAGTCACTCACATGTGTGAAACGCTACACTCAAGGTCCCGTGCTAGTGGCTATAGCCATGCTGAGGAAGACAGGGTGGCCAACTGGGACAGCAATTAAACACGGCTGTTTTTCAAATTCAGACCAAAGAAGAAGAATTGCATTACATTAACATGGACTTAAAGCAGAATTAGAAAAGCCACTTTTTGAACTACTAATAGTCATGACATTATAGGGACATCAAAATTTAAATAACTTATCACAACAGCTCAATCGAAAACTTGAACTTTCTAAAGCACACACTTACTCATTCATTCAATTTCATTGGAGATATGCTACAGCTTTGATGGTTTATTTCATTCATTACAAGACTTTTCTGGGGGACATGTAGACACTGAGAACAGGGGGAACAAAAGAAAAAGGACTTTTGGAAACTTAGCACTGGATAAATCCAACAACAGTGTTGCCAATAGAGAGACTGGAAACCCGAGAAAATGTCAGACTGAAAGCAGCACAAACAAGAGGTCAAAAGACTAAAGTTGCCTTTGAGAAGGGAAGAGACATCTTACCATGAAAGCATTTCTCCGTACAGTCAGGCGGCTCTCACACAGCAATGTGAACACGCAATCACAGCAGCCGAGTAGAAGAGTGGGAATACTTATTCCTCAGTCTGTAGTCCAAAATGAGGTCAGTACACAGTCAACAGCCAGACGAGTGTGGGACAGGGGCAGAGGCAGACAAAAAGAGTGTGTGTTTGTGTAATGTCAGTAAGTCGCAGAGTTCCTGCTTGTGACGTGAGGATGGGGGGAAAAAACAGCTTGGCTCCAGTTTCCAGCAAAGACAGGAAAACAGCTGCTGGAGGGAGGAGGGAAGAGAGGGGAGGATAGAGAGGGAGGGAGAAGGGGAGGGCCTAGAGTGGCGCACGCTCAAAGTCTTACCCAAGCAGTACAAAACCACCCACTCTAACAGATGCACTGACTGAGCGCCTCCAGAAGACGGTGGAAAGAAATGTGGACAAACACACACGCAGATCAGCAGCTCATTTCCACTTTGCTATGCTGAACTGGACACAGCACACTGGGCCAGTCAGGGAGGGGTGTTGAAGGTAGCAGCAACCCTGAACCCTAGCAGAAACTACACACTTGGGTAGTACAAAAAATAAAAAATAGAAATGCGTATATGGCGTAGCACACTCACACAGTGGCTAGCTCTACGGATCTCTACAGAGACACTGGGCTCTTCCATATGGCAGGGTGACAGTGGCACAGCTAGTTCTGGATGATAGGGGTTTAAAGATATCAGAGCACAATATTTCACAACACAGAATATGACTTAGACGTGTGACTTTCCCCACTGTGGGATCAATACAGTCTATCTTGTCTTAAGCTGTGAAGTTATCTGGTTGAGTCACAGATGTCTTTCACTCCAGTCATTCAGGTGCAACCTGAAGTTTCTGAATTTGATCTCAGGTGTTGTTTTGCAGCCCACGGAGCTCTCCCCAACAGACTGTATAGATGTTTACTGTATCAACAAGCAGTCTCTGTATGACAGCTCAGACAGAAAATTCCACTCACTACGCTGACCTTCTCTGCTCCTTAAGTTATTGTTGGAGTGATAGAACTTGGAAAGTTTTTAAACTTCTTTTGCATTTTTTTGGTTCAATTCTAGGGACATTTATTTTGTTTGTTTTAGTTGGCTTTTAGTTCTTTTAAACAACAACAAACACATTTGAAACAAGACTAAAACACTACAGCCAAGCTGGCGACACCACAACGCTCATTAAAAGACTAACTTGTTGGATGGATTAAACTTTTTACACAAATTCTGCCATTTTTGGATCCTTTTTGGTCATTTCTGCCAAGGCAGTGTCTCACAGAAATGAGGCTGGCTGGGTTTTTGCACATAGTGCCAATGTCCTTCTAAAATGTCCTGGTAAAATAAAGTGGTCTGAGGGTGGAACCAGAGGACAGGCCACGTTACCTAACATCAAACAGATTTATCCGCTGGTTCTAGTTTTGAACCGTTTTGTGCCTTTAAAATATGTTTCAGTTAGATGTCAAGCCAATAAGTTAGGCTGTTTGATACGAAGATGTGTGTGTGTACGATCAGCTCTGTTACCGCACTCAAGCCTCTCTTCCTCTCTCCTCAGCTCTGACACCATCCCCCACCCTCTACCTACGTATCCATCCTTCTCTCACTCTCATCTTTCTCCCCTGGGAGACCAGAAAGCCTTCCTCTCACTTGTTACACCCCCTCCCCCCCCGCCCCCAAGCAAACGCAGAGCAGCATTCCTAAATGCATGCTTGTACTCTTCAGTCCGAAGAGTTTATACCAAATTCCACATAAATTAACATGATATGACTTGGCTCGAATTAACTCGAGCAAGAGTACCACATTGGAGCTCTCACTCTAAATAAAATGCACACTCACCACATTCATGACAGGTTCAACAACACCCACCCACACTGAGGCTGCTGCTGCTGCCTGCCACAGGGCTACCTTGTTTTGAATTGATAGGAGAGCAGCAAGAAGCTGAATGACCACAAGTAGGGATTAGAAATGGTGGGCCAGAACTACACCCAAAGTGTGATGTAGGGGCACGAATCATTGTGAGAAGAGGGGAAAACAGCTTTTTAGTTCTCTCACCGACTGCAACACCAATAACTAAGACTTACATGGACAGACAAGCTGTGGAATAATTAGCTGCATTATGATTAAAAACATTCTTCTTTCTCCCCCATAAAGTAGATGGACGACTTTACAATGTACAGGTCGAACAATCTAGCCCACCAAGGTAGTGGGCTAGTCAATAATAGACCCATTTGTCCAAATGACTTCCTGCTCCTTAGACAAAGACACGCCCAATAGCCAAAGATGAGAAGCAGTTTGCCGTCTCCATGTCTCCGTTTACCCACGAGAAGAATCTGTTGGCAACCACATGTTAGAAGTAGGAGCCAAAGCTAACCCTCACACACACACACACACACACACACACCCACACTATCCAAACACCGCAATCATAAAAAGGTAAACCTGCCTCCATGGTAATGTCTCCCAAGTGTGAAAAGACTAATCTTTTCATAGTGAAGTGTGATCAGTAAGTCATTAAGTAAGCAGTTATTTTACCTTGCAAGCCCAAATCAGCCAGTAAATGGAAGAAAAAAAATTGTTCCAAAACATCACACACGTTACAGCTTGGTCATATTCACATCCATACATGGTGAATATTTTTCATTTAATACCTCAAAAAGGAAAAGGGTTCCTGGGAATACCCATCCAAACCATTTCCCGTTTCCTGAGAAATATATTGACAGGAAAAGCCTTTTAAAACAAAAAGACATAGAACATATAAGGCATTAAAATAGCCTCTGCCATGCTTTCATTAGCTTGCATATACACACACATCTCATTGACCACACCAACAGTCAATTCATACACTGATGTGATTAGAAAGGCTGAACACATATTCCAAGTTGAGCTGCGTTAAGCGAGAGAAAATCCCAGTAATTGTTTGACAGTGCACATCCCAGTAACCTGGAGTTAGTGTGATGCCATTCTTGTTATGATAGCTGAGGGATCCATTGTATGTGCTCCAGTCTATTAATGTGGATAATGAGACTGACAGGGTCACAGAGTTCACCTTGACTGACTGTATCCTAATAGGAAAATTCCAGTTGTATGGCTGCCATATTCGCATAGAGTAAGCACGCAGAGACAAGACTTGCTGCTGCATGGTAGTGTTGGCTGGAGCTGTCTGGAGACTTGTGCAGTAAACAAATCAAATCACCACAAAACATAGAAATACCTGTATGGTGTAGCACACTCACTCAGTGACTCACTCTACTGACTTCTATGAGAACATCAGCATCCTTTAGAAAGAAATACTGGCAGCTACGGGCAGGCGATACAGGCGTGGTTTAACTGTGTGTGACGGTGCGTGGGAGAAGTTACTGTTTGCTCGAAAACAACAATGCCGTGGATGCTGCTAGCAGTTATATCAGAACTGGGGAGTATTTTGTCACTGAAAGAAGAGCAAAGAATGGCACTGAAAGCTTTTCTCAATGAAAAAGATGTTTTCGCTCCTTCGACTGGCTTTGGTACGAGTTTGACTGAACTATATGGTTTGTTGAACTGATTGGTTGAAGTCTGCCTCTGATAGAGATGGTTCATCCAATCACCTGCCAAGTATTTTTTTTATTAGGGGCTAATTAGCCACTAAAAAGAGAATTAGCTGACCAACTTTTCATTAGTTGGATACTCGCAGAAAAACAAAAACAACAGCTCATTATGGCTCCAAAGTACACTTTATGGCTGTGTGGCTGTACTGCATGGTTCATAAACTGCCATATTAACCTTAGCCACATGGATTTGTTGTTGTTGTTGCTTTGGGGTTCTTTGCATTATTTATGGTGTGGTCTTGATTCATTTGCCTATAACACAAAGCGCCTCTATCATCCTCGTGCCTGGACCTACCAACAACAGTTTTTTACATTTATCTGAGGTTTACTGTAACCTCAGGTGCTCTACCTATATTTAGTTTTAATAAACACTGTAAACTGTACACTGGAAACACCGTTGTGTATCTTTAATTCTCACACAAAAACAAAGACGTGGGTCAGCTGCAGCAGGGTCATGTTTTATTGCGATCCCAAAGTGTTAGTTAGGTTAGTAACGTAGGCCTCTGCAGGATGAAACCTTAGCCAAAACCCTCTAAGCCTGTAGCACATATCAGCTGCTTTTGGGTTAGGACCTGTTGAATTATTCAGCCTTGGATCGGTTTCTCTGTGCCTTCAGGTAAGCCCAAACCGGTCTGATCAGGTTACCACAGCTGGTTTACAGAATGTGGGGTAGATCATTGAATCAGTCCGTCTGTCTTCACATGAGCTGCTTCACATCGCCTTTGTGGTGAATACTTTGTCATTTTCAAACAAAAGGCATATCACACACTAGCTGGGGTCACTGTGTATGCATGCAGTCTTTGCTCAATGTACAGAAAGTCATCCTTCTAATCACCACCAACATCTAACAACGCATGGCTTTGACCAGCTCTGGGGTTGGAATATAGATGGACAAGCAGCTAAAAGTACAACGAAGGCAGTGCTGCAGTATGTAATGAAGGTGGATGAGCAGAGTTGGTTGTGGGATTGGAAGCTAACCTCTTAATCCATCTGAGTGGCGGCGTCCTGAGAAAAGCACACGTCTGCCAAGTCAACAGGGCACAGGTCGCACTATCGAGCTCTGGTTGTATCCTGTTGAGAAAAGATGCAAAGGTTTGATTATGGTGACGCTAAGACACGTGAGACGGCGTTAGCCCGTTGATGGGAGGTTCCATTACATTTAAACCTATATACACACACACACACACACGTTTGCCTTGTGGATGACAGGCATACTAGTCTACAGCAGCCATGAAAGACGTGCTCCTAATATTATGAACAATACGTGGAGGAGTATTTTCATGAGCTCAAGCACTGAATACACAACGGCACAATTAGAGGCAATGGTCTGACATAATGCTTTGCATTATATATATACACTAAGTGCCACTACAGCACTGGTGTATGTTCTCATGAGAAAACCAGTGTTTGCTTGGACCTGGTTCAAATTCAGGCCAAGATGAAGCAATGCAAAATAATCAGACAGTGAAAAGGAGAGATAGTAAAGGAAGGAATAAAAAGAAGAAAGGAGAGGAGGGAGCTATCTGCTCTTTACAATATTCATGAGACTGTGCAATCTGAAATGTTAAATTTTAAGACAACTCCTCTTTAAACATAAAAACAGACAGGGGGTGGTGTCCCCTGTCTGTCACTGGCAGCTTAAGTTGATGGTAAGAC